TTTTTCTTATAATATTGAAGCGAGTTATACAGGAGTCTGTCCGATAATGTTGACATGTTTGAATAGTTGTGTATAAACAATGAGTTAGTTGATCGTGGGACTTAATATACTTTCGTTAAAATATAGTTTTGTATTTGCTGTAGTTTGTTGATGTGTGTTTTTGATACCTTAATCCATATTATACAGGTATATTCTACGACTGGTCTTATGTATGCTCTGTAAATTTTTAATATGTTTTCTGGTGAAGCTCCTTGTTTGTTGCCTGTCAGTCTCCCAAGGTAGCTCGCTTTTTTTCAGATTCTGGTTTTTATGCTATTAATGTGCGGTATACAGTTTAACTTTGAGTCAAATGTAATCCCTAAGAATTTTGTTGGTGTTGCTACCTGTAAGTTTGTTTGTTTGTTTTTAATTATGCACAAAGCTACACAAGGGCTATCTGTGCTCTGCCCACCACGGGTATCGAAACCCGGATTCTAGCGTTGTAAGTCCGCAGACATACCGCTACCTGTAAGAGAGTCCCGTCTAGATATAAATGTGGTATCAATTTGCTTGTTTTGTAAGATTTTGTAAATGATACGATTTATGTTTAGCGTGCATTCATTTTAAATCTCCACTTGTTGTAGTATAATTCTATTTCGTGTTTGATTAATAAAAAAAGTTATTTTTTAAAAACACTGCCTTCCCGGGAAATTTGGAACGCGCATGCAGCCCTCTTTGCCACCTGAATGAATAGCCCGGCACCCAAGGTTAACGTAAGAGTATTATTCATTCAGCATCTTATTGACTTTTATTTGTATGTTTGTTCTCAAGCACAGAGCTACACAATGGGCTACCTGTACTGTGCCCACCACGGGTATCGAAACCCGATTTATAGCGTTATAAGTCTTCGGGGGCCTTAGTGGGGGGGGGGGGCTCTACTGACTCATTTAGGCTTCAAATGAACAGCCTTTCAAATTGGTACAAGGTGTTTCATTTTGATCCAATAGCATAGAGATGTAATTCAAAAGAACAAGCTCTACGCATAATTTTCTGTGATACGATTTAATCAAATTCTAAACTTTTATTAAATTTTCCTTCTATTACTGAGTGAGTTAAAAGGCTAACGCATAATGTGTAACAAAATGAAAGTATGTATGATTGTAAGCCTACGTGGACTACCAGTTTTTGGTAGTAAAACATGGAATGAATTGTGATACTATTTTGATTTCGTGTTCCCTACACTCGGGCGCTATCTTTATGTTTCTCTGGAATTCAGTCATGTTACTATCAGTAGCTTCATGAATATTAATATATCAGGTTTTCGGTATTTGTATATTATGCAAGAACATAGGCAGAAATCTCTATAAAAGGGAGTGGTACTTTTGGAGGAAAAACGAAATGAAGGACGAAGCCATACTAGGGGCCCAGAGGCATGCCTCCTGAAAAAACAGCTAGCAATTTTTACTGAAAACAGTATACAGTATTTTGGATGATATCTGAGTGTGTTTTATGTCATTTAAATAAGTGCATTATATTCCCGGTGAATCAGAAGTCCTGATTTTCACTGTTGTTGTGAAGTAGGTTAGAATATCAAACTCTGTTGATAAAAAGTGTTTAGTCGTACTGGAGACTATTTGTTACCTGACAATAGGTTATGATATAAAAGTCAAACAAAACCTATCTCGAAACTGTAGGTCTAAGGTAAAATATGACAACACAAAAACTGTAGTGCACAGCGATATTGACCCAGAAACGTTGATTTCCTTACGGGTTTTACTCGTAATCTGTGGGTCGCGGCTTCGAATCCGCGTCACACCAAACATGCTCGTCCTTTCAGCCGTGGGGCGTTATAATGTGACGGTCAATTCCACTTTTCGTTGGTAAAAGAGTAGCTCAGGAGTTGGCGGTGGGTGGTGATGACTAGCTGCCTTCCCTCTAGTCTTACACTGCTAAATTAGGGACGGCTAGCGCAGACTAATGTGTTGGACTGATGAAAGAGAGATAAAATGAAACATTAGTGAGATCTTTCAACAGTCCAGGGTAAAAGGAAACAAAATGAAACTATAAAACTAAAATAAACCAAAGGCTAAAACAATATGACAAAGTCTTGATCCAGGGATCAAAATAAAAACCTAAAATGAAAGCCAAACTAAGATTATAATAGAATCTACAAAGTGTAACTATTACCAGAATCTGCCTAACAGGGGAGAACCTGGCTTTACATACGAACATTGACTTAACCCCGGCCAGGTTGCTCACCAGTTGCTCGTTGTACACAACTACACGTAACCTTCGTCTGGTATTATTACACGATTCGCCAACAGAAAATACAGCCTTCTATATTAGGACATCACAAGTTATCTTCCCGAGAGAGCACCAATTAGTGAACCAGGTTTGGGGCAAGTCTAGAATGAAGAAAAGCTAAATATTTACTTAAGTGTCTTTCTACATCCCAACTAAACTGAAAAAAAACAACAGAACTTTCGAAAATGTATATATTAATCAAGGGGTTAACAAATGCATGTTATCGTCCTGCACCCTAGTATTTGAAATGTTAAAATTTATGTATGTTAGCTTGTATGCATTTCTCTTTGTGCTAAAATATAATCCATTTCGATTATGTAAAACAAAACGAATAGACTTTTTTTAAAAAAAAAAAATTAACAGTTAATTCACTAGTATCATTACTTAAATTTCTAAAAATCAGTCAAGAAAACTTCATAAGTTTAGGAGAGAAAAAGAACATTAAATACAATGTTATATAATTGAATATTCCTGTCCTTAATATTGTTTTGTTAGTCCTCGTGTCACATCGTGTTTCTGTGTGCTTATGGTATACACAATTGTTTGTTTGTTTTAAACACAAAACTACACAATGGGCTATCTGTAAACTGCCCACCGCGAGTATCAAAACCAGATCTTTAGTGTTATAAATCCTCAGACTTACCAGTGAGCCACGGGGAATTGGGTAGTAGACAATTATAAGATGTTGATTAAGTTAAATTTAGAAGCCCACGACTTGGTCCACTCCATCGCACGATTATTTATTGTTCACACGAGATATCCAGCTTTGCGGTATCTTTACATTATTACAAGCCTATATGCTTTTTTACTACTATAGTTGGAATAATATTTTGTTTTATTAATATTCATTTTATTAAAACCATGTAATTTACTAATTTAAGCCAAAATTCACAATTGTATCGAAAAAATACTCCGTAAAAGAGGTCTGGCGTAGCTTAGTAGTTATATAATCGGACTATGAATCCGAGGATTTATGGTTCGCGTTCCGATGCTGCAGGTGCGTCATAGAAGTGACAGTCAATACCCACTATTGATCAGATAAGAGTAGCTATCTTTTCTCAAATCTTCCGCTCTATTCGGTGGTTCAGTATTAAGTCTACGAACTCATAACGCTAAAAATCGGGTTTCGATACCTCCCCTGAGTAGGGTACAAATAGTTCATTGTGTAGCTTCATGCGAAAATTGTAAGACAAATAAATAAATAAAAATATGTAAAAGCCGTTGTACTATAACTTGTGACTACAGGAATTTTTGTTGCTTCAAGTGTTATCCGTAAATAAGTCTTTTTAATTTTTTGTTATTCATCGAAGTGTCATTGAGTCGAAGAGAAGAGCAAATATACTTCTATACTAAAATATGAAATAAAGTACAGTGTACACTAAAGACGTTAACCTTAATTGTAAAAATCGAACTTACCACACAGCTGTTATACGATAAGCATCTTCCGTTCTAACTGTAAAAGTTATTTCGCTAATGTTTCATTACATTAAAAGTTCACGCGAAAATGGAGACATGGATCATACCATTTTTTATTTGTTTTACGACAAAAACGAAAAATCTTTTCGTATTTATTATAGTGTTTTCATGTCAGTCATATACGTCCAAATTATATACATATAAAACACGTTCCCGCTGTCAGATCAACAGTTTAAGCCTCTAGCGCGCATCAGTAAATTCCCAGTCATACTCGTTAAAGTTTTAAGAAATAAAATTGGTTAAAAAAAACAACAACACCCGCAGTATATAGCGTGATTTTTATTACTAATTTTAGGCTTCTACAGGATTATGCACAAAGGGGCAAGCAGAGACCCGATTCCCCAGTAACTCTTCTGTGCACACAGATTCGGTATTTGGTGAGTGAATTGTTTTTTTTTGTTGTTTTTTCTTAACGTATGAGGTACGCGCATGTGTAAATATGATTTATATATATATATATATATATATATATATATATAATATGTGTGTATTTTAACGCTCCTCTTCCATTCCCTGATAGAGGTCAAATTTAAATTGCTGCGCATGGCCCTGGGCTTATACATATAATCATGCTTATGAGCATTAAATGGCATTGAGAAATCGTGTTTTACTTCTTTTTTTTTTTCTCTTCCGTATTTGGGCTACAAGATGATTCGTTAACTAGTGTTTCGAAAGCCAATGGCTTGTAAGCCGATAAACAACATCCTTCGCTGACTGGCAAAGCTTGTCACACCTCTGTACTTTCCGAAAAAAACCTCTAGTGCTAAGAGGAAAAGGGTTTGTTTGGTGATCATTTGTTCATCCCTAAAATTACGAAAGCTAATGTAACTTAATAACACACGTGTTTGTTAAATACACAGAAGAAACAATAATGGAGCACGATGGTTATGACTACGACGGAGAAGAAGGTAAATTATATTCGATATATTGTGACGTAAATGTGTTCCAAAAGTTAAAGCCTTTTTCTAGTCTCAGAGAACAAAGATATTTCAAATATTAAAATCAATGCCTTTCCAAGAGTTCTGAAGAAGAGAGTAACATTACTATCATGTTTTGTTGAAATAATTATTTAATAACTATATTACTTTATTATGAATTATTAGACATTAGCCAACATGTTTAGATATCAAAAATACGTTAGGTTATAATCTCAGTGTTAATCCTTATGCACTGTGCAAGAAATGTTTTGGAGTTTGTTCTATAACCTTAACGATTCTGTTTTCGGGAATCTGCACTTTCATACCTGGGAATTTTTGTATTCAGCTGATGCTGGGACCTTTGAAAAATGAACCTCCCCATGCGATCGGTGGCGTTTCTGGTCAAATAAGCTTGTTTTTGTTTTTTAACCACGAACCAATTACATAAAAACAAAAAATTGTTACAGTTACAATATTTTACATTCTGTTTCTGACGCCTATTGGATGCATTAGCTACTGTACTGTAAGTGAATACGGAGACGTGTTTCAGAGCCGTTTGTCAGCTCTTGAAAAATCAAATTCTAATGGTATATAGCGAATGTTATTGATATGATTCAACCTACAACAACTGAACAAACTGTTTTACAGTTTAATAAGTATAACAAATACCCATTGCTAAAGCAGTAGTTCCACGGAGTTTAGGCCTAAGTTGTCAGAGCGCTGGGAATTTTAATAAATTTCCGGAGACTTTCGGTCAAATCCGGAGAGTTCCCAGATGTGCGTATTAGGTGTATAACATTAGAGTAAACAGAAACCTGTATTAGGCGTAAAATACTATAGTAAAAAAAGGTAATGGCTCATATTATAACCTGTGTTCTTCTAGTTTAAAATTGTGATATTTCACTGGGGCGTCCAAACTTTGAAAGTATTTTGATTTTAAGACCTTACGAAATTCGTGCAGTATATTCAATGTACTTTTATTATTATTTCTGGATAATTAAACTACGGGCCTCAACCAGGTTTCATTGTTTTTACTTCTGCAATACCGAATTTTATTATTATTTTATCTTTTTTTTTCTTAGTTTGAAAAACTGTTTTAATGGTTAGTTACACTGTTGACGAATTAATTTTAGTTTTGTATATAGGTAAGAATTATATTTGCAATATCCCACGTCATAAGTTTCCAATGTTATTTACCAACGTACCTTACATGTGTGTGTCACAGGATCGCTTCAGCCACGTATATGCTCTACAATCTCATACCAATTGCTATATTTATTTATATACAGACTACTATTAACTGAGAATCAGCTACAAAAGAAAAAAAAAAAAGGAAATAAGTAGGTCTACAGAGCGTAATACTAAGTCATATTATCATAAAACAAGACTTCCCCCCAAAGTCTATTATAATTTACGGGAACCGTGATGCACAGCACACGCTGATGAAGCCAAGCGATATCTTGCGAAAAACAAACAAACAATAAAACATGTACTAAAACAATAAAAAAGGAATTATGACTTTGAAAAACTGTGTTTGTAAGGTTAGAAAAATCATCAAGCTTAAGATTTGTGATAAAAATCAATTTTTTTCTCCACAGTCCTCTAACTTTTATATTGTGGACACAAAATCAGAGACGTGAAAAAAAAGTATTTCAGATTCTTCTCTTCCCTAGCGTAAATCACTACAAAAGTGGCCTTTCGTACAATACCAGAATTCATCACTTGGGCACGGCTATGAGATAAAAGATTATGAGTCCTTAATGGTCACGTTAAGAGTGATGTGGAAAGAAAACTTTACTTAATGTTTTATTATTATCATAACTGGTCAATTAAAGTGTACGAATAAACACTTTTACGTAACTTGTCAATCGTGCAAGATTTATATTGAATAAATCAATGTGTTTACACTAAAACTGGGCAGTAGTAACTCTGAACTGTAGTAAACAGAGAACACAAGAAATTTTGTTTAATAAGTAGCACATTTTTAAGCAACATGAAATCACTCTTCGGTTATTCACAAAGTAACGGTAGTATAATTTTACACTTTTTATGATGTACTTAGTATTACCTATGCTTTTCTCCTCAATAGACATATAATTAAATAGTACAAAGTTTAACTTGATAGAGTATCATAAGTTCAATAACTTGCTCAATTTAATAAGTCTATATTGCACGAAAGATGTGTTTTGTGTAATATTTTGTTGGTAATTTATAAATGGTTGCCGTTGTTTATAATTAATTCCAAATCTACACAAAGGGTTATCTGTGCTCTGCCCACCACATGCCGCCGTGCCACCGGGGAGCAACTGGTTACGCCCCCTAGAAGTAACATTGTTCAATTGAGAAGCCGATAAAAAATAATTTCATGGTTTATTTAAACTTTTACCTAAGGTAAAAGTATTCAACTACAGAAATAAAGCATTTGTATGTGTATTAAGCAACAGATAGATTTCTTACGTGTACATTACAACTGAGATGTCATTAAGTAAGAAATTCAAAGAAAACATATTTCATCGAATGTTCATAGATGGAGGATTAAAAATGTTTTTTTTTTTTTTAAATATTCGTCCAAACAACCACACGACTTTGGTTTGCTTCTTACTGGATTTATATGGAATATTCTAAAGTAAATGATAAAAACATATAAGCCTTTCCTTTGGTATTCCGTTACAGTGATTAACCTTTTGCTTAGAACAATTTTTGTACTCTGTACCCTTTCATGAATATAACTTTCATAACTATATTGTATAAACTAACTCTCTCTCACGCACATGCAATTAATATGTAAAGTGTCTATGAAGTATTTGAATTTTAAAATAGTCGTGTCTGTTGCATTTCAAACTAGTAAAATCAATAAAACTAGTTTTTCACTTTATAATTTTATTAAGAAGTTATAAATGATGCATAATCTTTCTGATATACGTAGATGTTATGATATAATGGCAATCTAACCTGTTTTAGGATATTATTAAAGCTCCTAATCTTTGTGATATATTTCAAGAGCACATAATATAAACCCTAGAAGTTATTGCCCGAACTGTCTATCCTAAAATTTGCACTTTGGAGCTGTAGAACTGTTATAAGAGCTACAGTCAAATTCCACATTTTCATCAGACAAGAGTAGCTCAAGAATTGGCGGCGGGTGTTTTTAACTAGTCTCCACGTTCCATCATGCGCAGGTAGCAGATATATCTTGCGTACCTTTGCGCGAAATTTTGAAACAACCAAACAAAAAGAAATAAGTAAGCCCACTGGCTTAATTTTTTTATACTTAGATAAATATTTATAGCTTCACGGTAGGCCCGGCATGGCTAGGTGGTTAGGGTGCTCGACTCGCAATCTGCGGATCGCGGGTTCGAATCCCCATCATACCAAACATGCTTGCCCTTTCAGCCGTGGGGGCGTTATAATGTGACGGTCAATCCCACTATTCGTTTTTAAAAGAGCAGCCCAAGAGTTGGCGGTGGGTGTTGATGACTAGCTGCCTTCCCTCTAGTCTTACACTGCTAAATTCAAAACAAGTCTACAGGGTATAAATTTCATTATATCTTTCACTTAGCAATTTTCCTCTTTTGTTTCTTTTTTACGGTTTTAAGTACTTTAATTGGTAAATACCTGGAGGTGAATCTTAAGCGATGCAGAAACTTAAAAGATTGAACGTTAATTTTTGGTTATGTTTACTGTCTTTCAACAGCTAACGCTAAAGGATGCTAACAAATGACAAAGTGTGTTACTAACATGTAAAGAACAAAATGTGTTATATGTATTTATAAGATCTTAAATACACTTAAAAAGGCAATCTCAGACAAATATAAATTAATCTCGGAGACTTATATATCAAATGTAAATTATATTATTAATTTTCTAGGGTGCATGTCCCAGACTCCCACTAGATTGAGCTGCTTTTAGCAGTTCATTATACTCACTATCTCTCATTGTAAAATCTGCATGTCGAGCCAAGCACCCCCCCCCCCTTCCCTTTGCGACTCCTTTCTACACCACTGAATCTCTAACGATAGAACCATAAAAGGGTAAAAACGGAAAAGGTTTTCAGCTTTCGGCCTTCTAAATTTTGCATTGTAGTTCGTGTCGATGTGTAAAGAACATAAAAAAGGTATGTTTTATCATTGTATGATAAAAGAATTGAACATGTATGTTTTAATTTTTTTTTAAAGTATTTATGTATTTTAATATTTCCATCAAATAAGAATTGACAATGTTTTACCCAAATAAAATTTTCGAAAACCTAAAACTGAACTTAACTGTAAAATAACCAATGAGGTCCAACCATCGGCTTTTTAAGCAATTTTTCTAAACTATTTATAAACAAGTTGTAACCAACGGTGTGCCAGACAATTTATATAGCACATGAGAAAGAAAAAAATATCATCAGTGTTGCAGTTAATTCCACTAATTACTACTGGGATCCTTTACGTGTTCCCCCCTCCCCCACATGTTTATAGAAAATAAGCGTTTCCCTCCAAATGTATTTGTCAGTTTCTTATAGAGTATTGAAACAGGCAAAAACAAAACAGCTCCATTATTTTCCATATTTTAGTCGAGGAGGGGGTTTCAAATTACAAAAAGTCATGTTGGAGTTATTTGGCATTATTTATGCTTCCCTTTATTGGTCGATATCTCCTTTTTGCTTGGACCAAATATAATAGCTATTACCTGCTGCAATTTCACCCCTTCCAATGCTCTTGAAATTGTCACTGCGATGAAAAATGTAACCGGGTGATTTTGCAGTCTGAGGTGGTTTAAAGAATATCTCACTGAGAAGTAAGCAATCAATGATATTGTAGACAGAAGTGTTAACAAGAGTGGTTGGTTCATGCGTAGTGAACGAACGTTAATGCAAGATAAATAAATAAATACATGTAACAATCTGTTTCTAGTCGACCTGGCCATCTTGGTTCACACAAAGGCCTGAAATGAAAATGGGTATTCTGGAATAAGTAGTCAGCATCTGAATTTTCAAAACGGACTTA